AATCTCATTTTTACTAATTTCAATTTCCATCTTCATTCCTGTTTGAACTAAACAGATTATTAGAATAGTTCTGATTCCTATTATGGCTTTAAACCAAACGGACCCTGAGTACTTTTGAAAGGTTAATATACTCAATTCCCATGCTCAAAACTCATAACCCCCAACCCGTGTGACAGCGGAATTTGATATCAAATCTGCATTACAACCAACCAGAAAACTTATCAACTGAGCCAATAAAATAAAGGGTCGTTGCGAATCTGTTTGTGATATCCAGAAACCTACTCAGGAGGGGGATAAGATAACCCAAGCTTACCATCAATCCTCATGCAGAGGGTAGCTGATTGAAACCACAGCGATGCTTCTACAATCAAAGTGAGAACTCAAAAGGTTGGAATCTAGACCGGCAGGTGCCTCGTGAGAGGCCCTGTTTGTCCCGTGATCTCACCAAACGGTAACCCAGAGGAATCGTCGTCACCTATTATAAACAAGAGGAGAAATCTCTGACCTGTGATCTATCCCCTATGCCGACCCTGGCTGAAAAAGTTAAAAAACCACAAGACAGCAGCTGCCACAGGACAACCATCAGCCTCAATAAAATCACGGGCTTTCAATTTTCTAAGGTGCAATCGTATCCCATTCCCATTCATTAACAACCATGCTGCCACGGGACAGCAGCTGCTTGCCTATACAGAGGCCAGCTGTTGTTGTAGGGTGGCCACCCAGAGCAACTGGGCTGGGAAAAGGGGAGAGAGGAAGGGTATATCTGTAGTCCAAAGATGACAATTTGATAAATATCAAGGGTAAGAGTCTTTAAGGCTGTGTTTGGAAATGATGTAAATAAGTTCCAATGCAAATATGTAAAGTGTAAAATGGTTTATATAAATTGTAAAGTTGGGKTAGTTTTGCATTGACAAATTTACTTTCTTATCAAATACATTTTTAGCTATAATGGATGCAAACATGAATTCCAATAAAGCATTTTTTTATTATATTTTATCAAAAGCCCACTTGAATGCAAATTTACTTCTTTTTTATTGTTGTACTATTACATCTTATTATCAATGTAAATATGCATCGATTTGTCATTTGTCAATGCATAAATGTAATGTTGCCAAACACAGACAAAAGCGAATCAGAATGCAAATTTACCCTGAACCGGGATTTACACTCCATTTGCATCATTTCCAAATGCTGCCTAAAGGAAAAACAGAGAGAGTGATTGTACCCTACCGGCCTAGGGTCTCGGATCTGTTACCCACTACTTGTTCCGTTGTTCACACATCTCAACCCACAAGGCATAACAGTTGCGCATTGGGAATATCTCCCTTTTCATTCATAGGGAGATGTTTCTAATACACGACGACGGTGTTAGGTGGATATAGATGTGAGAACAAGCTTGGGGCTGTGGGACCCATAGAAGACAAAGAATAGAAGAGAAGGTGAATGGGTTAAGTTTTAGTTCTTGAATTCTACAAATGTTAAAAATTTAGTGGATGTTAAACTATCAACATGGTTCCAACATTATGTGTGTTATATCTCACCATGAGACTGAGACCCACCATGTCTGTAATGTGTGAATGCATCATGTTGGTATGTACTATAGTTTTTTGTTGTGAGAGGATCATTTCAATAATACATCAATGGCATGTAGTTTAAAAAAGATAAATGCCACATGGACAATTATACTATCAAATCATAATCCTATTTGGTGGATTGATTGGATAAATAAGTTTCCTACTTTTTCTTACCACAGTACTCACCATTTGCACAGTCCCTTTCAGCCTTACATTGGGAATATTCCCTATGAAAAATAATATACAAGTAAAGCTGTGCGAATGGTGTGGGTACAGTCGTGAATACCGAAGCCCATCTCCACCTAATGAGGCCCAAATAGCATTTATATGTGATAAAATGCAATAAACAATTCAGATTGGTAAGTGAAGAAATCTATCACAATTCAATGCAATAAACAATTCAGTTTGGTAAGTGAAAAAATCTATCACAATTCAAAGAGAGGGATACTGTTGTGGGGAGATCGGATTTGGTCCTTGTAGCTATAGGACAGTCTAAAACCTATGAGTGGCTCCCACGTTAATAAAATATCTTAGTATATCCTTATATCCTTAGTACTTGCATGTTACCATTGATGGGATCTAGATATTCTCAAGAATTCACATCTGTGCTCCTCAGAGGGCGCCCCATATCCCAATCGTGTATTGGTAACATCTCCCACTGACAACTTTGGGAGATGTCTCCAATGCACGTTGATGTAAGGCATTTTTGGGGCGTAGATGTGATCTCTGTTCTCAATGTACATCTGTAGCATCCAGTGGGTAGGAGATCTGGATATGTTGACATCAGATTGGGGCTTGGTCTAGCTAATCCAGCTTAGGCTAGATAATCTAACCTCAACTTACCCATCTGACACGGCCACAACCACCGTAGCCCAGGATAGAAAACTTGGGGCAGGTCTCAATCTCAAGCTGGGGAAGAATCAGTTCCCCAAAAAAGAAAGATGCATCCCACCTGAAGGATTTTAGGCTAATTAGCTTAGTAAATAGCTTGTATAAGATCATTGCGAAAGTGTTGTCTTTGAGGCTGAATGAGGTATTGCCAGATATCATTGCACATTATCAAGGAGCTTTTGTGAGTGGAAGACAAATTACTRATCARATTTTAATTGMTAATRAGARTGTGGAGAACTTTAAGAGGGATAAGAAGAAGGGAATGGTCTATAAGTTGGACTTAGAAAATGCTTATGACATGGTGGACTGGGATTTCTTGAGGAAAGTTTTGACTAAATTTGGGTTTGGGGCTAGATGGTGTAAGTGGACCATAGGTTGTGTCCAAAATTATCATTATTCAGTATTAGTGAATGGGGCAGT